ACTGTTCAGCAATGGTTGAGCAATGACTGCGCCAGAAGCCATTTTTGTTGTGGGCAAATTGATCAGGCATGAGTGAGCATTGCAGCCGTGATTGTGTTGGCAAATTGGCCCAGCTTTCAGTTAGCATCGTAGCCATTATTGCTGTGAGTACCATTATTCTCTCCTGAAAACTGTGCACACCATTGTGTTGGATGTCAATGGCTAGGTGCCAGTGTATCGTCACAGCTAAAGTCAGCCGAAAGTATCAGGTGCAAAATCTTTTTAAAAAATCAAAAATCTCATGCATGCTTAGAGACAAAGTGGCCACCACAAAAAGTGGTTCGAAACCTTTGAATTTGGATAACAATGCCACCAGGAATCAGAAAAGTTAGAGAAGCTTCCTATGATCCACGTCTCTGATTTAAAATGTGAATGCTAAGATGTTTGCTGAAGATTCCACGTACAGTTTGCAAGATAAATGAAGAGGTGTTTGAAATTGCATTAGCAAAAAGAACTCTTAAAAAGTGACCTCCAGAGAAGAGACTGTCGGTATTTTGGGCATTTAATCCGAGGTGAGAAGCTGGAGCAATTCCGTCTGAAGGGCAAAGTGGAGGGCAGTAGAGAGAGGAGGTGACCCAGGTGAAGTTGGATACTGGATTCATAGAGCGCTTGTGGACAGGCTACAGAGCTGTGTTTGGATGGTGCAAGTGTGGCAGGAGATGTCCTGATAGGAGGAGCGAAAACAAATGGACTGTTGGAGTCTCAAAGACACCGGACAATACCTGGAGAGACAGCAAAACTGTACAGATAAGATCAGCAAGAATACACACACGTATTTGCATTTTATTTGTCTCATGCTAATCATTTTACTGCACTGTAGTTTCAACTGACCTTCTGAATGCTATAAGTAAAATATTTCAGTCAACAGCAATGCAGGATCTGTTTGTACTAAAGTAAACGTAAACGCAATAGTTTGTGGAAAGATACAATTGCTTATCGTGCCAACGGCGATTAAGGAAAGTAGGAGCAAGTCCCAGCACAAATCCCGTGACTTGAGTTCCAGGCTTATTCTTTTCCAATCAAGAAGGTCGCAACTTAACCCTCCAATGTTTGGTATAGCTTCATGCAAAGCTGGATGTGGAGATCTCTGCAACCATTCATTTTCAAGATTGAGCTCTTGATCCTGACTATTTATTCATTCACTTAATTGTCATGGGAGCTGCACTGCACTGTTATTGGCCGGCCAGGGTAAAGGCACCATCTGAGTTTGTCTGAAAACCAGAGATTGATCCTTGCGTGCAGTTTCGCCCCTGGACCAGGCAGGTGGGGATTCAAGACCGACTCCAGAGGCTTGTGTATGTGTTGCAGGCTGATACTTCAGGACAGCGCTGTGTAAGGCATTAATGAGACATTAAACTGAGGTGAGCAGATGAATTGTTTATTTTAAATTTGAAGTTGAGAGGTCATTTTCACAAAGATATGAAGGGATATGGGCAAAAGGTGGATCTGAGGAGTTAAGTCAGGGAATTAGCCACAATCTCACTGAGTGGGGAACTGGCCTTAACTGGTTGAATGGCCTCTTTCTGTCCTTATGCTTCTACCCGCCCTCTCCAGGAGAGGAAAGATCCCATGACAATATTTGAGAAATCTGGGGTGTGCAGAGCACTGCAGGAAGTCTCTGTTTAAATCTGACTCCATTGAAGTTACTTCATTCCTGACTTACGTCATCAATTTGTCATAGTGGTCCCATTCTGCACCATTCCAAAGTTGGGATTGGAGTTCATTCTCCCTCAAGGGAACCCCCAATTTATTTTCCCTGTGAACTCTGAGACAAGGTTTTTCAATGAAAGATTTCTAAAGCAACAGTCAAAGCATCCCCTGAAGAGGTCACAAGGTGTAGAGCTGGATGAACACAGCAGGCCAAGCAGCATCAGAGGAGCAGGAAGGCTGACGTTTCGGGTCTAGACCCTTCTTTATTTCTGATGAATCTGGTGGATTGGCCATGCTAAATTGCCCATAGCATCCAGAGATGTACAGGCGAGGGGGATTATCCATGGATTAACCCATGCAGGGTGATGGGGATCGGGTTGGGTCTGGGTGGAATGCTCTTCAGAGGGTCAGTATGGACTGCATGGCCTGCTTCCACACTGTAAGAGATTCTTAAAAACCTCCAAAGAATTCATCTAGCTGAACCTCTGAGGAATGCCTATATCACATACGTCTGAGTGCAGCTTTCAATTTGTCAGTCATTATAAAACCATTGGGAAGGTGTGGGACAGTGAGGGAACGAAAAGAGACTGGTGTGTGTGTGTGACTTAATTTGAATTAATAGGCTATTTATTTTATTTTTTTGATTTGATTTAGTTTAGAAGTGATTTCAGCTGGTAAAGCATTCATAAAATCACAAGGCGGGGGCAGATAAGGTGAACGACAAGTGCCTTTTTGCTAGGGTGGGGGAGTTCAAAACTACAGGGCATAATTTTAAATAATAACCGAAAGAACTGCGAATGCTGTAAATCAGAAACAAAGACAGAAGTTGCTGGTGAAACTCAACAGGTTTGGCAGCATCTGTGAAGGAAAGTCTGGGGAAGGGTCACTGGACCCGAGACAGTAACTCTGATTTTTCTCTTCCCAGATGCTGCCAGAGCTGCTGAGATTTTCCAGCAACTTCTGTTGTTTTTGTGGGCATAATTTTAAGGTGAGAGGAGAGAGATTTGAAAGGGACCCGAGGGGCAACATTTTGACGCGGAGGCTGGTGCAGACAATGGGCTGCCAGAGGAAGTGGTAGATGCTGGTACAGTTACAACATTTGAAAGATATTTGGGCAGGTGCATGAATCGGAAAGGTTCAGAGGGATGTGGGCCAAGTTGCAGGTGAATGGAATTAGTTCAGTTTGGGAAACCTGGCTGGTATGGACAAGTTGGACCTAGGCACCTGTTTACAAAAAAAACTTGATCTCGGCGAGAATGCCTGCTCTGACCGAACTCCGGTTTCAACATCGATTCGTATCGGAAGCCGCTTTGAAGTCCTTTCGCTTCAAGCCAATAGTTTGTGCCAATAACCATGACTTTAAAGCGAGGACTGTTTGACGCGAATCGCTTGAAACGGAGTTAAGTGAAAAATGCCGCTGGTGGCGCATTCCCGTTCGTGGGATCTTGCTGTGCGTCTGTTGGACCATGGTAACTCCAGCCGCAAGGCTGTGCGGTGCGGAGGAAGAGAAAGAAAACAGAGGAGCCAATGCATTCCTGTTTTCTCCAGGCAGAGAGGCTTTCTCTGGATGCCTGTGTAAACCGGGAACAGTGTGCTGGGGTGGGATTGCGGCCGACGTTAAGCGGAACGCCGAGGGCAAAAGGGGTCTTTGTGTGCAGGGGGCGGGCAGACACACACACACACACACACACACAGGGGCAGGAGAGCTCTCTCGGACTGAGGCTGCCGTCTCTCCCACAGAAGAGAAACTGAACCCGCCTGTGATCACGTGTCCCACCTCCTTCCCACTCTGTCTCCAGCTCCAAAGGGGAAAGGGAAAAGGTAGCGATGGAGACGCCAGGAGCCAGGGAGACTGCGGCGCTCTGAGAGTCCGAAAGAGGTTTCACTGCTCGGGGCTTTTATTTCTCCTGCTCTGACTCGGTGAGTTTGCTGCTGGGGGTACGGGGGTGGAAGTGGGGGAGACAGGGAGAATCCTGTCCGCTACACACAAACAAAGGCAACTTTCCGGCACCGACCCCAGAGAGAGAGAAAACCCCCTCCAAAGCACAAAAAAGTTTCCGAAAAGTTTTGCTGCTCGCTTTTGTTTGGCGTCTTTTGTCCCGCGCTCCTCTCTCTCCCAGGCAACGGGGATATGAAATCGGTTTTGCTGGAGGTACACAGCCTGTTTCGACCCATCGCTTCCCCCCCCCCCCCACCCCTCTTCCCCCCCCCCCCCCCCCGTCCCCACACCCCCCCCCCACCCCCCCCCCCCCAAACACA